GGGCGGGAAGGAAAATCTTTGTGAATGGGTGTGGGAGGGAACTGAGGTTAATGTAAGGCAAAGTTTGTATATAGTTAAAAGTTTATAATTTTTTTTATATGATGCATTTTTTCAAGTGTATTTTGGTCTTTAATAGATGCAATTGTAAGTACTGTGTACACTATCCAGCTAATAAAAATTTATAAAGGGAGAACAAGCTTTGGCTCTGTTTTTCAGGCCATCTCCTCTCTTCAGTCAAGTGGGAGCTGTGACGCGGAGCGGTGAGGGCAGGTGGTGGCTTTAGCACTGCTGAGAAACACTTGGGCTGTTGGTGAGCCTTCCTGCCCTCCATGAAAGCAGGGAGAAGAAGGGGAGACAGCTGGGTGCGCCTCCCGCACGTCTGCCCAGGGCAGAAGGGCCCAGCCATCTTCCTGTCTCTTTCCCTTCACCCCAGCCCTCCATTTTGCTGCCTGAGGGGATTGCTTTGCCCGCCCTCGGGGCTGGGCTGCTGGAAGCTGATTGGCTGAGGAAAGCCAGAGTGTCCCACTTCGGGTGCTCATTGGATGGGTGTTGCTCTGGGGCTTGTCTGATTGGCTGGTGAAGAGGGCCTGCATCTTGCCCTGCTGCTCTCCCTGAGAGGCTGAGGTAGGGCCTCAAGATGGCTGGGGGGGGGTGTGGGTTGTTTCAGGAAGGATGGAAGGAGGTTTTGTCTCTCTGCTCTGAGCCCGGGGAAGCTGCGGTGACCCTCTTGGAGTTGGGAAATACCCTCACTGAGATGAGCTTTGAGCTGGCCAGTGTTGCTTTTGTGCCTCCTTTGAGTTGGGGGACAATATTTGGTGAGTCTCAGCTGGGAGCAGAGAGGATCCATGGCAATTATTGTGTGAAAAAAAATTACAGTTTGCATCATTATGGGAAATATGCCTAGTAGTCACACCATGTCCCTTCCATATCTTAGCCAGCTCCTGGGTATCTGTTGGCATAATCCACAACATGCCTCTGTGATGTTTCAGTCATGCTTGCTGCAGGGTTTATTGCATTGAATAATTCTCCCTGGAAGGCCGTGCAGAAGAATCCTGTGATTATCTAGAAGCAGCCCTGGAGCATCAGGAGTGCCCTGTGGGTGCAGTGATGGAATTTATACTGGGGGGCATAAGTAAGAGGTGACAATCCAACTTCATGTTACTCAAATGCTCTTCTATCTAAGACACTCATTCCTTTATAATCTTGATTACCTTCCAGGAACGCAATTTCTTTTTGTCCCCAAATTCCCAAGTATCATGTCATTATCTTTTTTGGGGAAATATGACTGAATGTATACCCTTAGACGGTGCTTATTTCCCATGTTTTGGCACAAAAGGAAGTTTTCCTCTTAAGAGGATTGGGCAGGCTTTGAAAGGTTTAAGAGAGAGTCAGTTTCCATGTCTGCCTGCTAATCCCTCTCAGACACGCGGTTTCTTCCACCCATGATGCTCAGGATCTCTTGGCAGCATTGCAGCTTAAACATTGACTACGATAACGTAAATTCTTTTATGGAGGCTAAGATCTGCTCTGTTGGGCAATCTTTGTGTGCTATCAAGCAGCTGTATGTTACAGTGTTGTCGAAACAGTTCCTGTGTCTGTTTACATCTTGCAAAGCTCTTTGGGTTAAAAGCAGCCGTATAAAAAAACCTAAATACTATGCTCAGCCTATTTTTCTTCCCTTTGTTTTGGGGATTTGCACCCGTTTAGAAGGATTATGCTGAACTTCACAGGTTTTTGTAGCTATGCACTATGTTCTTCAAAGAATACTACTGCCCTTCCGGGGGCCTGGTTCTGCCCTCAGTGGTGCAAAAGCACCTCTCTATTAGCAGAGGTTGGAAGCACACCTGAATATCACCAGCTGGCAACAAACACAACAAAAAAGGCAATTGTGTGTGTTTCTTCTGCAGCGGGTGCATTAATGGTGTTTTGCAAGTGAACCAGCTGTGAGTGGTATCTTCACATTATCTGTAAAACAGCTTGGAAGTATGGAGTGAGATGTTTTTAGCGACACTGGAGTGGTCCCAGAGCTCCAGTAGTAGATTGGTGTGTACTTCTAATGCCAGTTATAATGGGGCATAAACCTACTGTTTATGTTAAGTGTCTGAATTAGGGGTATGGTGTCCCCACGGGTGAGACAGAAGAGATGTTCCTGCAACAGGCAGTCCAGGGCATCCAGTTAAGTCCTCCTGGTTTTAAAATATCTTCTGAAGATGCCTTTTTTCCCCTCTTCTGAATGTACAGGATCTGCCTTCCTAACTCCGGCACTGTTGATACGTGCTGCGGAACCCTCCCAGTCAGAGGAGGTCCTGAAGAAAGCTTGGTGTGGTCTCTGTAGTTTGTAGTATATCCAAAATTCAGTTTACTTTCTCATTTTGCTTTCTGTGGGTCTTTCAAAACATGGAGCAGAACTTGATGATCCTTTTCATCTCTGTCTTTTGCTCAAATCTCCCTGGCTGCTTAGACATATGGCAAATTTTTAGCCAATTTGTGAAACTGCTACTCGAAAGCACTTTGATGTGTAGCATGAATGTGGCATTAGTAAAGAAGCACCAAAGGCAAGAAAATACAAAGTTATTTCTTTGTAAAAATAAATAAATAAATAACGTTGGGTTTACATTTTACACCCACCTGTTCAAGCTGAAGACATTTTATACTATAAGGTAGACAAGTATTTTTCAACAAACCCCTTGTTTACTAAAACGTGTCAAGCGCGTGACTTGTCTCTCTGAAGTCTGTGAAACAACTGCTATGTTTAACATAAAGCAGATTCTTTACTGCTTTGCTGACTTAGATCCTATCAGGGTGGGCAATATATAACATTCCCTATGTGAGTATTAAAGTGAGCTGTTGAAGAAAGTCTAAAAGGAAGCATTGTGTTCCGGTATCTCACAGCCCTTCCTTGGCTGTGGCACAGTATCAGTTGCTACCAGAGAGAACCAATTTCCTTTATTTGGGTTTATAGTTGCCAGTCATTTAAAAAATAAAGCAGTTTGGAAAAAGCGAATATACCATAGCCTTCACTAGATTTGCTTACCAATAGCTGAATTGTGATGTTGTACTATTAGAAAAAAGTGCCGTTATTTTTTTCAGGGAAGGATTGTGCATCGTGTGTCTCACCCTTTCAGTTGCTTTCTGCCTCCCACCCCATACGTGTCCAACTGCAGCAATGGGTTACAAAGGGATTGTTTCTAAGTGCAGTTCAGCAAAATTCTCTGAATAAGCCCAAGGGTTTGTGCTACTTTGTTTAAGTGAACCTGTTTTTTTCAGTTGCAGAATGTGGAGTTGTGGCTCTGAAGATAACAGCAGCATATTCCACAGCCCCTGAGGAAATTGCGTGGTGGTTCTTGACTGTGGGGAAGAAAGCAACATGCAGCCTTCACCAGAAGTTATCTGTAACATCTTTAGGCTTCATCTGAGGTTGGTGCCTTATGACTACATATATTGCACTATCATTCAGTTCCCCATCTGACATTCTCCTCACTTTGTTTCTTCCGTCCTTCCGAGAAGCCACAGAGAATGAGAAGTTAAAAAGAAATTCAGCATTTTTTACTTCTGAATATTGGTCTTAGTTCATCTACAACCAGAAATATTTTCTCCTCGTATCACGGAACTGGGGAAGAGGGAAGGGGATGCATGGGAGCTCGGAGAAGTTTAGAAAACTTCTCTTACACAAACCTCTACTTCCTTAGATTAAAGGGAGTAGGTGGAAAGGTGCAGGAACAGTTAACATGCTAAACATTTAGGGCAATTGTAACTAGCAGAGTTTGCCTTTGATGAGCACCTTTGGTGATGTTACTGAAGATTCAAGGCCAGTTAATTATCAACATTATGTATTTGTTATTATATTTATTTTTCTTATTTTTCTTATATTTATTTTTGGATTGCGATCCTCTGGTGTTTTTCTCATTCTTGCAAAATATTTGATACTTGATTGCGTGATGCCTTGGAAAACCTACTTATTTGATGTTTTTATCATATGCAGAGGGACAAATGAGATTTGGTTCCTGCTTTCATTATAAGTTTGGGTCCTGTGACAGATCAAAGGGAAAGGACAGCTCCTGAAGGAGGAGAGTTTTGTGGAAGGTATAGGCTAGCCATGAACATTTATACGGCTTTGGAGAATGGTCTGAAAACTGAGTTGCTTATTTGAATGCTGTTAGAAAGGAAACATCTTAGAAACAAGGTGTGTCATGTGATTCGCCTCCACACTCAGGTAATTCAGTCACATCAGAAAAATCAAAGAACAGCTTCCACTAAGTATCTTCTGTTCTTCTGCCTCCCACGCCGGCTAAAAGCAAAAAAGGAAGTCAAGTGTTAAAACACACAAAGAAGTTTATTAATGAGCAGTGGCAAAGAGATGAACTCAGGTAGAAATCCAGGCAAAGATTCCGATTGCTTGGAGCCTGTTTCATCTGCTGGTGTAAATGTAAAATCTCATTAGTCAATGAAGTCAATCCAGACTCCCCCTGCAATTTGTTTATACCATTAGTATGTATCAAAAATCTGTTTAAAAAAAGGAAATTCAGGAATTATCTGTGTCTCAGGAAATTTCTAGGCTCAGAAGAGAGCTCTTTAACATTGACCTGTAATCTTTCTTGTCAAGTGGTAAGAAATTGCTGACTTTCAGAAAATCATTAATTCTTTGATTAACTCACCCAAAAGTTTCAGCATGATCCTACTGAGTAGTTTGTTTCTCCCCTGGAAATGGCTCTCAAGATGATAGTCTCCTGAGTCATTAAGTCAAAGCTTTTTCAGCCACACTCTAATTATTCTTCGTGTGAAGTCATTCATCATTTCAGTCCTTCCTACTTTAACTATACTTTGATCAGAGTTCCCTCTGATAACAGGTCGACATCTAATTTGGGACACCACTTTGTACCAAGTTAAATGCTGAAGTTTCCTGATTTGCCCGTCACAGAATAGGAGCAGTGGAGGGAGAGGGAGTCCCTTCTTTTTGCAAACAGCCTTACAAGTCCTAAAGACAATCAAGTGGTGATTCATTAGAGGGAGAAAAGACAGGGGAAAGCAATCTGCCCAGTGGTGTTCATCTCACCCAACAAAGGAGCACAGCTGACTTTGCACTTATATGCAAGTTTTATATCCCTTGTTCCCAAAGCCAGTGGTGGAGAACCATCCCTGCACCAGCACAGAGGCAGTGATGGCTCTGCCTGGGCTCTCACAACAGGTTGGAGCTGGAACTAGGAGCCTTATCTCCCAGTTAGAGCTGTGATTCCCTTGTTTTATAGCACATCTAGCAGGGCAGCACGGGAAATACTGAAGCTGGGTTTGTGTCAGTGCACCTGCAGTGGTGTATGGGCTGCGACTGTGTATGGGCTAAATTGCTTTCTGCAAATAGAGGAAGTCAGTTTAGACAGAGCACAGCCATGCACTACCTGATGTGGGTTTGGGATCTGAGCTGCTGTTTCTGCGTGGTGCTAAATGGAGCTGGCTGGATGTGCCAGTCTGCCCAGCTGGCCCAGAACAGTTCTGTACGTTATAAAGACAGTGATGTATTGGGTGACGTATTGTGATGTGGTGTATGGCAGCTCTTTATCATGAATCCACACGAAGTGAGATAACGTTTGATTTTATTTAGCTTTGCAGGCAGTATAAGGAAAAGAAGTGTGAATGCCCTTAGGTTTGGGGTCTTCCTGGGAGAGCTAAATCCAGCTTCACTTTGGGGATTGATGAATAATGATCACATGTTGGTAACATCCTCTTGAGAGGGCAGAAAAAACACAGGGAGAAATACAGAGGCAGTTCATTCTTTGTTTGCAAAATCATTTGAGAAATGAGGAAGCAAGTTCAGAGCTGCACGTAGACTTCACGTTCCTTTCTGTTAGGTTCTCAAGTCCCTTATGCCTTTCCACAGTGACTGTTCACCGAGGATCCACACTGTCCAAGGCAATTTTGGGGAGCTAGTCTTCCTCACCATGGAAAGACATAATGTCTCACCTGGCACTGCTCCGAGATGACATGAAGTTGATGGGTCTTAGTTCAGACCCTGGTGGTGTGATACTGGGGATGCCTATCTGGAATAACTGCCTGGTGGTGTGGTGCAGCTGCTGGCAGTGACTGGAGATGACAGCAGAGCATTGCATTGCCAAAGGTGTGTCAAAACTTCAGTCTTTAGAGAGTGGAGTCCCAGTTAAAAAGCTGATTTCTAGACAAATACTACTAGCTTTCAATACAAACCATCTAGTTCTGGTTATATTCCATGCTTTTGGGGGAAGCATTTGAGTCACATGGGAGACCTTGACAAAAGTTCTTTAACACTGATCTTCAATGAATCAGGAGAAGTTTCGTGGAGATTTGAGACAGAACCATGTCTTTCCATTTGGTGTCTGTGTTTGTGAGTTGCTCAAGATATGGTGGTTGAGATGTGTTACCTGAATGGTGGCAGTGACTGGAGATGACAGCAGAGCATTGCATTGCCAAAGGTGTGTCAAAACTTCAGTCTTTAGAGAGTGGAGTCCCAGTTAAAAAGCTGATTTCTAGACAAATACTACTAGCTTTCAATACAAACCATCTAGTTCTGGTTATATTCCATGCTTTTGGGGGAAGCATTTGAGTCACATGGGAGACCTTGACAAAAGTTCTTTAACACTGATCTTCAATGAATCAGGAGAAGTTTCGTGGAGATTTGAGACAGAACCATGTCTTTCCATTTGGTGTCTGTGTTTGTGAGTTGCTCAAGATATGGTGGTTGAGATGTGTTACCTGAATTTCTGCTTGTGTTCACTGGTGTGTCTGTAGTTTTATTTATAACACAGAATTTGCCAGTAGCTGTACAGAGCAGCGAAGTTTTTTTTCTGGCCTAGCAATGAGCCAGAGGGAAACTGAGCAGGGCTCTCACCTGTACATGCCTGGGGAAGCATCTCCGCACATAGATAAGTCTGTGCTGGATCTCCTAACAGAAAGATTTAGTTTTCTTCCTTTCCCCCAGCCCCCAATCCCATCCTCTTCCATTAGTTTCAGGTATTACTGGCAGCATCTTCTCAGTTCAGTTGTGTTGGAAAAGGTTGGTCAGCACCAATGAGAAGAGGTGGTAGCTGGTGACGTTCCCTCTCTAGATGGAGTGATGGGTTCATTGATGCCTGTGTTTAGTAGATAATCTTTTTTTAACGGCAGGTGGTGAAGCTTTGCCTGTGGATGCTTCGTGTTCATTTCCCTGGGGATTCCCTTTGGTTTAGCTCTAAGCAGTGCTGTCCCAGGAGGGGCTCATGCCACCATGTGCAAGGTTACCAGCGAAAGGGAGGACTTGGTGCTCATTTGGGTTCTGCTCTGTTTCTCTGTTCTTCCTGCTCATGCCAATGATAAAGATCAGCACAGCCACCACAAATTTAGTAACCAGGAATCCAGCAATGATATAGAGGACAGTGAAATCAGCTTCAGGAGGGATGCTATGGGAAATCATAAATACAATAAAGCTTAGCCATGAAGGAGATGGTTCAACTTTTAACAAAACTCTTCTAGTATACAGTGTGAACATGGTAACGTTGCCTGCAACAGGCAGACCCTGCCTGTGCTTAACAGCCTGGGAGATTAGAACAGCTATAATGGGTTTTAACTGCAAGACCTCACATATGGATAAATTATGATCTGCTGGAGTTACTTTGCTTGGAACTGAAGCAGTGAATTTTCTGGATTGAGGCAAAGCTGCTGTTTAGAAACCACACAGCAGCTCTGAGAATTGTCATGGATTAGAAGAGGTGGAGAATACGCCTGTGGTGTTCCTGTCCGTTTCAGATGGGGTTGCTGATGCTAATCTGGTTTAGTCCTAAAAAGACTAGAGATCACAGTGGAGGAGTTCTGTGGCTTACCTGGAGATGCCCTGCACAGCCCTCGGCTCCTCTGGCATTTGGGTCTCCAGGACAGCTGATGATAGAAACAGAATAGTTTATTCTGCAGATGTTTCTGGATGATATTCATTGGTCTCACCAACACCAGTGCCCCAGCTAGGCATAGATAACCGGGGTGAGATTGGGCACTGGGCTGTGTGCTAAAAGATTAATCATCTGCGTAGCAATAACAGGATGACGTGTTAGATGTCCTGTAACAGTGAGGTCATGTTGCTGTAAAACGGGAACTAAAAAGAGGCAATGAAACACTACCTCCTTAGAGTAAGACAAAAGTAGGTGTTTACTAAAGTGCAGCCTTGGCAGCTGCAGACACACATGAAATGTAAGTAGGAGCTCAGGAACTCCTGAAACTCAGAGCCCCAGGACGTACCTGTCAGCACTTCCACTTGGACCTTCCTTAAGCTCTTTGTTTCCCCCAGGTAGTCACTTTTACACTGGTACAGCCCCGCGTCCTCCTTCTTGAGTCGCTTCATGGTCACTGTCAGGACCCCTTCGTGGACATTGTCACTGATGGAGGTGGTGCCATTCCTGTTCTTTAGGAACGGCAGCCAGAAGCGTCGGGCACTCACCACGTGTTGGCAGCTGGTCTTGTTGATCAGCCTGCACCAGCTCTTTTCTCTCCACCGCTGCTGCCAGGGGTTGTAGGTGCAGTTGACAGAAATGGTGCCCCCCTCTATCCCATACACCACAGTGACGTTCTCTGCAGCACAGGGTGCTAGGAGAGAAGAGGAAGTGCTGAGCCAAAACTATTTCATTTCTGTCCCTTACCACTATGTTTATGCTAAACGTCATTTTCCTCTTTTACAACTCTAGTGATGGCTGCTGCCAGCTCTAGGGCTGTTACCTGTCTGCTTCCCCCGTGAAAGATACAGTGTGCTCAGATTTAGAGTCTTGGTTCGGACATTCTTGAAATATATCTGTAGCTATCCCTCTGACTGGTGGTTATTTGGCTCTTGCCAGGCATCTATTCTTGGGGGAGCCGGGGGGAGGACTCAGAGAAGGAGGAGACATCAGCTTCATTAATATCTTTTAATATCTTACTAATTTTAAGCATGTTGATAACTGGTCTTTGGGTGCTTGGCTTTTTTCGTTGCATTAGTTCCTTATTTCTAATTTCTATTCCTCTTTATGGCAAAGGTAGAAGGGACAGTCTGAGCTATTAATACTTCCAGAGGGAAGTGCAGTGGGGTGTGATATTTGTGAAAATCTCTATTTCTAGTGAAAAAATTGAGGTTAGCGCCTTCTGTGAAGCAATAAATAACGATGAAACAGAATTAAATTAAAAAGCAGACTCTTATGAGGACTTTGTGATGGCTGAGCCTTTTAATAACACTTCTTATAATAATTTCAACCATTCCAATGGATTGTAAACTAAAAAATCTGAAGCTCTTTCAGGTTTGAGTAGGAGGCAGCATAAAAATGGGTCTGTGCTCTCCAAGTATCCAACACCTACAGGTCTTTATCCCCATATGTAGCTTCACTCTGTTGTTCCAGTTAAGTCTTACCTCACTGCATCTCCAGTCCAGTTCCATGCAATCCCTCTAAACATTTTAATTCCCTCTCCTATTTTTCTTGTGGACTCCTCCTCGCCCCCAGTTCTGCCCCTTCAGTTCCTGGAAGGGCCCCAGGGTTTTGGTTTTTGGTTTTATTTGGTTTGGTTTTGAAACGGCACTGAAACAGCAGTGCAAAAAATCCCAGATCATGGCATTTAAAGATTTGCTGGTGCCCCTGTGGAAAACGTTGTGTCGTTATCTTTTCGACCAATTCTGCTGACAGATCATTTACTATTTGTGTTCATCCCCCCTTGTTGTGTGTTACTGAAAAAAGTATAGTGGACTTTTTTCCAAACTCATTCTGATTTTGGGGACAGGCTTCTGTGCTCCCAAAGCCTGAATCTGTCGTCTTTTTATGCACGGCTGCAAGATTTGGATCTCCAAAGTGTGGCTGGAGAGAGAAGGCTGCCCAGCTGGGTCCTGTGCCTTCTTTCTCATCTCAGATAAACGTTGCTTTCCAAGCTGAAAATAGTCAAATGCCCAAGAGTTGAGAGATGTCCCCTTCCTTGAGTTTTATCTTCCTCCTCTTGAACCCTAGCTGCTGCAATTTACATTCAAAGCCCACAAATACAAACAAATAGGATTTTGCAATTGCCTATTTCACTCTGGAAAGGCACAAGAAGACTTCTGTCAGCAGGGTTTCCTGTTCTGACTCAAAAGGATCCCTATGAGAAAAGCTGAGCACTTGGATCACCGCTGGCCCTTTGTTAAATTAAGGGAAAAGAACAAACTCCTGGGCAGGAGCCTGACATCCCTGCAATATGACTGGGGAGGAAGGACAGAGTGCAGAGCACACTGCAATGCTCCAGGTTCCCTCTGCTTGCATTGCATCGGACCTTGCAGCATATAGCTGGACAGTAAGGCTCTTTATCCATAATAACTGTTTGTATTGGTCTTCCCGAGAACTGCATGCTACAACGAAGATGCCTTTGCATCCAGAAAAAGCTGTGCAGTCTGACCTGTGCAGTCTTTTACTGTAGCGTTATCAGTTATCTCAAACCAGGTGCAGATAGAAACTAAGTTTTGCACCAATGCTTTACCCTGTCTATTAACTGAAACCCAAGGCCACGTACGTTTCTTACCTGATAAGAAGACGAAGAAGATGAGGTGCATGAGCTTCTCCATGTCAGCTGAGCAGAGAAGGGGACAAGAGAAGAGTCTGGAGAAAATTGAAAAGGGCTCTTGCCCAAGAGCAGTTTGCTTTTCCCCCCTCCTTGCTCTGCCGGAAGGAATGAGCAGAGGAACTTGGCATCTTTTCCATCCTGCGTATTGAGCAACTCACCAGGGACGGGCATCTCTCTCGTGGGCTGAAAATTCAGGCATCAGCATTGCCCACTCACAGCTGCATTTTAGTCTAGACAGCCCGAAAGAGAGCATCATGTGATGGCCTGAAACCATGGTACTGGAGTCCCGCTCAGCTCAGCAGAGGTGCCTGTCCAGCAGAGCAGGCTTCACAGCCAAGCTTTGCATGGGCTGAATTTCTGCAAAGCCAAAAGGGAAAGGGCAGCTCTCATCAAGAGTCTGTAGGTAGGTCTCTCAGCATCATGGGGGTGAAAGGTGGGCAAGGACAAAATTTTACGGGTTATTTTCAGAGGAAAGAAGATATAGAAGAGCCTGCACATGAAGCATTCCTCTGACATGTAACTGAAGACAGGAAGACAAGGACACTGAGCTGGGTGATGCTGTGACGTACTTTAGATGAGGAAAACAGGTATCTTTATTTTGTACCTAGCAGAAAGGACGTAAGAGCAAGGACCGGGGCTTGATTCAGAGCCCATCAGTGCCATACTGATGCAGTAGTTCTGAACTGCAGTTAAAGGAGTTCCCTTTAGCATTAGCAAACTGGTATGCTGTGGACGGGTTACTGGTTTTTCTTTTTTGAATTTATTTACTCCGAGATGTTCCAAGTAGACCCTGGCTTCTTAACACATGTGCTTATCTGCTTAACAGGCAGATAAACCTGCAGGTTTATCCATTCATAAATGTGCTGCCTTTTTGTTTCCTCTAATTAGTGTTTAAGAAAATGGTACCTTGCATTATCAAAAAAATTCTCTGTGAGACTTACTGATTGCAGGTTTGGTTCATTCTTGCTCCAGTGAGCAGGAATTTGGTTTCTTTTTGATCAGAAGCATCTGTCTCCCTGAAAATGTCTCTCTTGAACTCAGTTGTTTTCTACTATTATTCTTTCCACAGTTTCACCCAGTATAACTGACTGGATGAGTAGCAAATAGGGGAATCTTAGGCAGAATGAACCATTTCCAGAACCATTTTTTTCCTTTCTTTCATTTCAAGTTGAACACATCAACTACGAAAATCCCAAAAAGGAGATCAGCTTCTCTGCTGCAGCCATAGCAGGATGAGCCTATTGGATGTGACTGGCTTGTGAACAGGGGGTGGTTCAGGCCCCTTTCATTTGCCACCTCTCTGCAGAGCTTGGGGCAGCCTAATAAAGTGCAGGGGTTTTTGGTCTTTTTGAGAAATTGAGCTGAGCCCCAGCAAACTCATTTCATATTGCTCACCACATGACTGCTAAATAAAGGCAGCAGATGCGTAATCTGGAGTATTTCCAGCAGAGATAAGGAAGTAATGGTATCACTTTACAAGGCCCTGGTGAGCTCTCCCGTGAAACTGCGCACACATTTGTGGTCTCCTGTGACTTCAGAAGAAACCACGACAGTGTGCTTTCTACGTGTAACATCTTTGTCGGTGCCACGGGCTGTGGGACTGAGTGCACCCTCAGCAAGTTTGTTGACGACACCAAGCTGTGTGGTGTGATCGACACACTGCAGAGAAGGGATGCCATCTGGAGGGACCTGGACAGGCTTGACAGGTGGGCTCATGCGAAGCTCGTTACATTCAAGTCATCCAAGTGCAAGGTCCTGCACATGGAAAAGAGCAATCCTGAGCACAAACCCAGGTTTGGCAGAGAATGGCTTGAGAGCAGCCCTGGGGAGAAGGACTTGGGGGTGTTGGTGGAGCTCAACGGAGCCCAGCAACGTGTGCTGGCAGCCCAGAAAGCCACCATCATCCTGGGCTGCATCCCCAGCCCCGTGGCCAGCAGGGCAAGGGGAGTGATTCTGCCCCTCAGCTCCACTCTGGGAAGACCCCCCTGCAGTGCTGCCTCCAGCTCTGGGGCCACCAACAGCAGAAGGACATGGAGCTGTTGGAGTGAGGCCATGGAAATGCTGGGAGGGCTGGAGCCCCTCTGCTGTGAGGACAGGCTGAGAGAGTAGGGGGGGGTTCAGCCTGGAGAAGAGAAGGCTCCGGGGAGACTTTAGAGACCCTTCCAGGGCAGGGGGTGGCACTGGAGGGGTTTTATGGTCCTTTCTACAGAAATACTTGGGTTTGGTTCTTCCTGCTTGTCTTGGTTCCACACTCTCTTGTTTAAGCAGCCAGTTTGTGTGTTCTTGGGGAGCAGAGGGTGTAAGGCAGCCGGGCAGCCAGAACAAAGTTTTGTTGAACAAAGTAATGGCTTTTGATTAGGAGGTGGTGAAAGGGTGGGGCAGTTTGCACCCATGGGAAGCCATGCCAGTAACTTCAGATTTCAGCTGCTGCTTCATTCTGTTTTCAGTGTACAGGTCTCAAAGACTGCATAAATATGATGTGACTGGATGACCCTGAGAGCAAATGAGTCCTCAAGCTCGGACAGAATTAAGTTGTCTAGAGGGTACAGTGCTGGAGACTCTCAGTAGTGTAATCCATAACAGCCACACTGAATCCATCCCACAACCCCTGCGCTCTGTAAAGGGACACTGGTACACAGTAATGTCATCACCTTCATTCCCTCCTACCCCCAAACTCCAGCGTGAACACTCTGTTTCTTGATCTAAAGCTCAACATTTAGCTTTAGTTTGAAAGCCTCTCACGATCTTACTCCTTACCCAAGCAGACTGAGAAATTAAGTTATAGGGGAATTTGCATTATGTCTCAGGAGTATGTATTACTTACATACACCATTGTTGTTTTGTAGCTGCAAGACCTTCTGGTGCTCAGATTCATACAGCACAATGCTCAGTTTGCAAAGTTTGCAATGCATTGTGTCACTGTGTTGCAACACACCCTCAAGCTATTTGCCTTCAGGCAGGTGCTGGTTCTGCTTATTCTTACAATCCAGTGTGTGTTTCCCCCCCCGTTACATGGCAAATGGACCCGCTCACGGCAAGGTTAGAGTTTTATCCCTACAGCACAGTTTGCTTGGCTGCAGTAGCTGAACTCTTAGGAGTGGGACAGAGTTTCTATCAGTGAACATAGTTGAAATACCAAACCCATTCATGTCCAGACGAATATATTGCTCTTTTTCAAAAGGTCAGTCCTCCACACATGCCTCTCCAAGAGAGTCTGCATTTTAATTGGACTGAAGAAAGCAGATGCACAAGAGATCCTGAGAATTACCCAGCAGCTCTGTCTGACCCGGGAGAATCTGCACACTTGTGGTAAAATTCTCTACTGGCCTGTAATAGGAGGAAGTTCCTAAAAATGCACAGGCAACATACACATGCAGTAAAAACTTAGGTCTTTCCCCAGTGTCCATCCACACACCTTCTACTCCCCATTCCCACTTCTTGTTCTGGTTCTTTTCTCCCATTTCTGGATCCTTTGGGGATTCTGTGCTTCAGCCTTTCTCGTTTGTCGATAACCACTTGAGTGCAACAGCAGCATATTCCACATTTTCATCCTTGGGTTTCCTGTAAGCCTGACTTGGTTCGACATTGCAGTAGAGAGGAGGCTCAGGGCTGAGTTGGGATTTATGGTTCAGGGTAACGTATTGTAGGTCTTCGCTGTCATTCTTGGGAATTTCTGTTCTTTCAGTTCTGTCAAGCTATGAAAAGAAAGGGAAAACACTTTTTAGCATGATTCAGTGCCAGGCCACAGCTGTTTTCAAAAGAACAAGGTTTTCCCAGGAGGAAAGGAGAAGCCGTGTAAAAACCTACCTTTGGTCCTGACAGAGGTGAAAGAACACAAAACTCTTTCCTTCATCACCTCTCCTTGGTACAGGTTACAATCTCATTGTATAACCTTGGTTTCTAGTCTTTGAGACGTTTCTCAAAGACTATAAGAATTTGCTTCACTGTTTTTTTTCCGCATGGAGTTTCCTTACATTAATTATCCCCCTCTCTCTCCAGCTAGGAACATTCCTCTCTCTGGTGATATTGAATACAATTTCCCTTCCTGCTCACAACCAAAAATGAACACTAGGTCCTCGTCAGATGGGTCAGTCAGCTCCTCACACACTATTGGTAAGGGATGCAGGTACAGTTTGGGAAATCTATCATTTTCCTTACCTGTGCTGTGTCCTCTGGTTTGTCATAGATGTCCTCTGCTTGTCTGTTACCTTTGGAATGAGCCAAAATCAGAGGTTTTAGAAGTAGAGAGATCTATGAAATGCCTGGGCATTGCCTGTGCTTCAGTTTTGGAGAAGGCTGTGGGATTGCCTAGTGATAGAAGCGATGGGTGTGCCAGTGGGAGCCATCTACCCTGCATCTGGTGCACATCCTGCTCTCACTTTAATTCTCCTCTGACATGTTAGGAGGTGTCCTGTGCAGAGGCTAGAGGCACATGGTTTGAGCTATGTGAGAGGACATCACAGCGAGAAGCCTGCCTTGAGGCTTCCCAAGCTGCAGCAGCCTTGTCTTCTCCAGGGCACTATGAGTTGGGAACAAGCTTGCCTGGAGTGGAAAGCGATAGCCAGAGAAGACCCTGTTTAGCACAGACTAGAACATTGAGGCATCACCAGTCTCTACTTACTTCTTCTCTTCAGCTGCTTGCGCTGCCTGACGTACAGTGTTATCAAGCTGATAAGTGACAGGATGAACAGGATGCCCAGGACCCCAGAGAGGATTCTGAAGGTGTGCACACTTGAGCTGAAACCAGGAGAGCAAAACAATTACCAGTGTTAGATGGTAGCACAGCGTGATGCTGGCCCAGCCCATGACCAAACAGTGGCCAAAGTATGGGACAAGAGTAGCTCTTATGCATCTAGCTTTTATGCACTTGAAAAGAGGAGGTTCTCCAGAAGTAATGCTACGTTGGCTTTTCTACCTGGCTGTGCCTTCTGAGCTTTTCCTAAACTATTGCCCAGGCTTTAAAAACAAGCCACTGCTCAAAGATCAGAGTACAGTTTGTGACCCTCTGCAGCAGGCACTGCCTTCTCCTCCTCTGTTCTGCTGAGCATGGTGAGCTGGAGCTGATGTGTGACTGTACTCATAGGTGCTGCTGTAGTGTTGATGACAGCAGATGTTCAAAGGGGAAGAAAATCCTTTATGTTTAACAGCCTGGTATACAGAAGGATAAAGAAGCAGGCAAGGACTATTTCATTGTTAAATATTCATGGAATGAATATGGACAGTTCTCAGAATCCCCAGAGCCTGCCTACCTCGGGAAGACAAGCGTAGTGTGGAGGAGACATTAATAACTCCTCCCTGTGTTCAAATTAAGAGACTTTCTTTAGGCCTTACCTCGGTGGTGGGGAGTTGCCAGAAGGGGTTGCTTGAGTGGGGCTTGCAGTACCTGACACAGTTGTTTGAGCCAATGCTGCAATCACAAACAAGAAGAGAAGAATAATCACTCCTGGGATGCTTTGCATTTACCAGCTAAACTTCCCTGCCACTGGGAAGACATGGATATAAATCCATGCCCTCCGTGACGCCAGCACAGCCAAGCTGCCCAGGCTGTGACCAGTGTCATCGAGCAAAGCAAGGTAAGGAACAAAACAGGGGGGGCAAGGACCTGAGCAGGAGGCCCACTTTGTGTGTACCCAACCCAACGTGTGGCTGAAGGAAGTGCTATAGGTGCAAGCAGAGATGCTCGATGGCAAAGGTCTACAGGTGGCAATGAAACATGTGACAAGGCTGTGCTTAAGCAGAGAGAGGCTTAGGAAAGTAAGGAAAGAGCATTGTCTGTGAAGGACTCAGCTGTAAGAACTGCTCCAGGCCGTGGGGAGCAGAAGGGGACCGGAGCCAGATTACTTGAGCAGAGATGAGTCACAAATTGTGTGGGGTCCTGCCCCCTTCCTTTGGTCCCCCAGGGATGGCACGTTCCAGGGGCTCATCCCGTAGTGCCTGGAAGGGAGGAGGGAGGGCTGGCAGCTGCGGGGCCAGAGCAAGAGCAAGGCCTGGCCGTGGGGGGTTCTCCAGCAGCGCCCAGCGTGGACCAGCCGAGTGCCGAGCTGGGGAAGCTGCTCCTGCCAGAGGGACAGACAGACAGACAGAGAGGGAGACATGAGCTGTGTGGAGGCAGCGCTGGGCTCCTCGGTGCTGTGGCACAGGAGAGGAGGGAGAAGCAGCAGGGTGGTGAGGCTGCAATCTGCCAAGAGGCATGGTTGACTGCCGGTAGGTACTCACTGTTGGACACAGAGAGCTTGAACTCCATTATCGGGGTGAGATAAGGGCCTCTATAGAATGCACACTGGTACACACCGCTGTCCTGGGCCTGCAGGTTGCGCATGGTGATGGTGACAGTCTTGTTCTGGGTGTCATCCTGGATCCATGTTCTGCCTGCCAGACCTTGGGTATAACTCCGTGTTGAAGGGTAATTTGTCCACACCACTTCCTTACACCTATTCTGATCTTCTCTTCGACACAGGTATTTTGTGTCCGTGCTGTCCCCCAGGGTGCCGTAGGGACACTGCACAGAGAGACTGTCTGACTCCCGCTTGTGCAGCTCTGCAAAACAGCACACGTGGTCACTGACCCGTGAGCGGGGGGCACACGGGCACCCACCCCCGGCCTGAGCAGGGCACCTGGGCCAGACTACTCACCCTTGAAAACAATCAGTGAGATCGTCCTGAGGGGAATGTACTGGTTACTGTTGGAACGGTAAGCACAGGAGTATGTGCCTGAGTCCTGTGCCTGGAGGTTGGTCATGGTGATGGACACAGTCTTGTACAGACAGTCGTCCTCTATTGTAACATTCCCCTTTGTGGCCTTGTTTGTGAATGGGGATGGTGTTGGGTTGGTTGTCTCCACTAAGGGCTCACATTCCTCATCTCTCACGCGGCACCACGCTTTCTCCTGCTGGTAGCCAGTCTGTGCTGTGTAAGGACACTGGATATACAGACTGCTTCCTTCTGGTCGTCTCTCCTTGGCCTTAGGGACTTGGGTTTGTAGACCTGCAAATGGCAGATGTGGTGAGGAGAGGGGAGCTGATGCAGGGCTGCCCACAGCCTCCCGCTGGACATGGGGAAACTGCCTCCGCCCTTCCTTCATGGGCACTTGTGGCTGGAGGAGCTCTGAAAGCCCAGATCCATTGCTCCTGCTGAATTCCCCACTTGGAAACAGGACTGTTGATTTGTGATGGGCTGTGCTGAGATTTGAAATTGGCCAGTTCTCTGATTTCAAACCCAGTATCTTTGGCTTAAAACCCGCTGGCGTGTGGGTGCTGGAGGTGTTGGACGTGAAGGCTAAATGGATCCATGCCTGGCCCAATGTTTGGTGCTGCCCCAGCAGCCCAGCCCCTTGTCACTGCCCCTTGCTGTGGGGAAAAGGGAGAGCAACCCCTCCCCGGGCTGGGGACGGCAGTGGTGGGGCTCAGCCATCGCTCAGGGAGTGGCAGGTTCTCCCTGGCAGCTGGGTGGCCGTTTGCTCTGAAGTAGTCCCTGCTCCAAGGCTTTACCCACCAGCAGTGAGTGAGGAGCTTGGAGAAAAGTCTCGATCGCTCGGGCAGAGGGAGAGGAAGGGACACGGGGAGAGGAAGGGACAGAGGGAAATGGAGGGGAGCGAGGCCCGTCCAGTGGCAGAGCCCCGAGAGCACAGGAGAGCCAGACGGACGGTGCAGGTCACTGTGCTTTGCGGGCTGAAGGGTAATCTGTGCTCACCACAACTTACACCCAGTCTGACCCCTTCGGCACCAGTGCTTTGTCCCCGTGCTGTTCCCCGGGGCACTGCAGGGACACTGCACAGAGAGTGTCCAGCTCTGAGAAACAGCACATGTGGCTACTGACCCGTGAGCGGGGGGCACACGGGCACCCACCCCCGGCCTGAGCTGGGCACCTGGGCCAGACCCTGCCCTGGGCAACTCCCTGGTGTTGGTGGAACCGGTCAGGGCAGGGCTGAGGTGGGGCAGGAGAAGGGGGAGCCGAGGGGCTGCAGGGCCAGGGGGTGTGTGGGGCTCTGTCACACCGTGCCTGTGTGAGTGGGGAAGGGGGGGAGCGAGGCTGGGGAAGGTGGGGGCTGTGGGGGTCAGGGGAAGGTCCTCAGCTGTGTGGGAGAGGGGACACGGAGCGTGGGAAGGAATGATGTTGGCTTCTGACAAGATGTGACTTTGTGTCAGGAAAAAGGTAAAAGGTACTCACCCTTGAAAACAGTCAGTGAGATCGTCTTGAAGGGAATATACCTGTTATTGCTAGAACGGTAAGCACAGGAGTATGTGCCTGAGTCCTCTGCCTGGAGGTTGGTCATGCTGATGGTCACGCGGTTATAGTAGTGGTTGTCCACTATTTCAATTTTCCCCTTTGTGGCCTCTATTGTGTGTGAGTGTGGTGTTGGACCACCAGATGTTTCCACTAAAGGCTCACATTCGTCACCTCTCATTCGGCACCAGGCTTTCTTCTGCTGGTAGTCAGTCTGTTCTGTGTAAGGACACTGGATATACAGACTGCTTCCTTCTGGTCGTCTCTCCTTGGCCTTAGGGACTTGGGTTTGTAGACCTGCAAATGGCAGATGTGGTGAGGAGAGGGGAGCTGATGCAGGGCTGCCCACAGCCTCCCGCTGGACATGGGGAAACTGCCTCCGCCCTTCCTTCATGGGCACTTGTGGCTGGAGGAGCTCTGAAAGCCCAGATCCATTGCTCCTGCTGAATTCCCCACTTGGAAACAGGACTGTTGATTTGTGATGGGCTGTGCTGAGATTTGAAATTGGCCAGTTCTCTGATTTCAAACCCAGTATCTTTGGCTTAAAACCCGCTGGCGTGTGGGTGCTGGAGGTGTTGGACGTGAAGGCTAAATGGATCCATGCCTGGCCCAATGTTTGGTGCTGCCCCAGCAGCCCAGCCCCTTGTCACTGCCCCTTGCTGTGGGGAAAAGGGAGAGCAACCCCTCCCCGGGCTGGGGACGGCAGTGGTGGGGCTCAGCCATCGCTCAGGGAGTGGCAGGTTCTCCCTGGCAGCTGGGTGGCCGTTTGCTCTGAAGTAGTCCCTGCTCCAAGGCTTTACCCACCAGCAGTGAGTGAGGAGCTTGGAGAAAAGTCTCGATCGCTCGGGCAGAGGGAGAGGAAGGGACACGGGGAGAGGAAGGGACAGAGGGAAATGGAGGGGAGCGAGGCCCGTCCAGTGGCAGAGCCCCGAGAGCACAGGAGAGCCAGACGGACGGTGCAGGTCACTGTGCTTTGCGGGCTGAAGGGTAATCTGTGCTCACCACAACTTACACCCAGTCTGACCCCTTCGGCACCAGTGCTTTGTCCCCGTGCTGTTCCCCGGGGCACTGCAGGGACACTGCACAGAGAGTGTCCAGCTCTGAGAAACAGCACATGTGGCTACTGACCCGTGAGCGGGGGGCACACGGGCACCCACCCCCGGCCTGAGCTGGGCACCTGGGCCAGACCCTGCCCTGGGCAACTCCCTGGTGTTGGTGGAACCGGTCAGGGCAGGGCTGAGGTGGGGCAGGAGAAGGGGGAGCCGAGGGGCTGCAGGGCCAGGGGGTGTGTGGGGCTCTGTCACACCGTGCCTGTGTGAGTGGGGAAGGGGGGGAGCGAGGCTGGGGAAGGTGGGGGCTGTGGGGGTCAGGGGAAGGTCCTCAGCTGTGTGGGAGAGGGGACACGGAGCGTGGGAAGGAATGATGTTGGCTTCTGACAAGATGTGACTTTGTGTCAGGAAAAAGGTAAAAGGTACTCACCCTTGAAAACAGTCAGTGAGATCGTCTTGAAGGGAATATACCTGTTATTGCTAGAACGGTAAGCACAGGAGTATGTGCCTGAGTCCTCTGCCTGGAGGTTGGTCATGCTGATGGTCACGCGGTTATAGTAGTGGTTGTCCACTATTTCAATTTTCCCCTTTGTGGCCTCTATTGTGTGTGAGTGTGGTGTTGGACCACCAGATGTTTCCACTAAAGGCTCACATTCGTCACCTCTCATTCGGCACCAGGCTTTCTTCTGCTGGTAGTCAGTCTGTTCTGTGTAAGGACACTGGATATACAGACTGCTTCCTTCTGGTCGTCTCTCCTTGGCCTTAGGGACTTGGGTTTGTAGACCTGCAAATGGCAGATGTGGTGAGGAGAGGGGAGCTGATGCAGGGCTGCCCACAGCCTCCCCCTGGACATGGGGAAACTGCCTCCGCCCTTCCTTCATGGGCACTTGTGGCTGGAGGAGCTCTGAAAGCCCAGATCCATTGCTCCTGCTGAATTCCCCCCTTGGAAACAGGATTGTTGATTTGTGATGGGCTGTGCTGAGATTTGAGCTGGGCCAGTTCTCTGATTTCAAACCCAGTATCTTTGGCTTAAAACCCACGGGCGTGTGGGTGCTGGAGGTGTTGGACCCTAACCCCAACTAGAGCTGTGTGTGGTACTGGAGGTGTTGGACGTTAAGGCTAAATGGATCCATGCCTGGTGCAGTGTTTGGCGCTGCCCCAGCAGCCCAGCCCCTTGTCACTGCCCCTTGCTGTGGGGAAAAGGGAGAGCAACCCCTCCCCGGCTGGGGCCGGCAGTGGTGGGGCTCAGCAGCCCCTCGGGAGCCGGTGTGTCGTCTGTACGGGATGTGGGGACAGGGCAGAGGGAAGGAGCGAGGGCAGTGTGTGCCCCGTGGAGGAGATGCTCACCCCGTGGCTGGGCCTGAGCTTGCCCCCAGCCGCCTGCAGCTCCTCCGTGCCGCATCCTCGGAGGGTGCCCAGCGCCTCAGGGGTGCGGGGCTGTGCCGGGTCAGGGCTGCCTCGGGTCCCCGACCTGCCACCCCCCGCTGAACGCCTTGTGCTCTCTGCTGGGACGCAGGGCAGGCCGGCGGGTGCCCCCAGACAGCTCTGTCCTGACCCAGGGCTGTGGTGGGAGCAGCCGAGCAGGGCCAGCTGTGTGAGGGGAAATGGCGAGAGGGGGAGGCGCTGGGGCTGCTCTGGAGATGCAGCTCCGTGGCCCCAGGGTGGTTTGTCCTGGGAGCCTGGAGGAGCTGGATGGGCAATGGTGGGATCTGGGGCCGTCCCTTCCCTCCCCATCCCCATGGGGCTTTGAGCATCCTGGTCTGGTGGGAGGTGTCCCTGCCCCTGGCAGGGCGGTTGGACAAGAGGGTATTTAGGGTCCCTTCCAACCCAAACCATTCCATAATTCCATAACTCTATCATTCTATCATTCTGTGATTCTCTGATCCCTGCCGAGTCTGGCTGGCGTGGGGTTCCCCCCCAGCGTGGGATTTCCCCCAGTGTGGATTTCCCTGGGCAGGGGGAGGTGGGGAAGGGGGTCCCACTCCCCCTGGGTGCCTGGGAAGCCCGAGGCAAGCCCAGCCCTTCTCTTACCTGGGAAGCAGAGCGGCAGCAGGAGGAGGGCTCTCAGCTCCATGGCTGTCCTCAAGCCCAGGCAAGGGGCATTGCTGGGGCTGCCCAACGGGTGCCCTTTGAAAGCTCTGCCTTGTGAGCCCTCCTGCGCCCCAGTGACGCTGCTGGAGGCAGTCCCAGAGGTCTTGCTGCAAGCGGAAATCTTTCACCACATTCTGCAACAGTTTGGGGAAGTGGCTGAGAGCGGAACTCGGTGTCATGATGGCAAAGGCCCTTTGCTGCTCTCACCTGGCCATTGCCATTGCCACTTAGTCTGATGTTCCTCGGTACCTGCCATTCTGCATCTTAAAAACCAGCTCATAAGAGGCACTTAACAGCCATGAAACAAATGCTTTAAGACCTTCCTTTCTTCACACAGATTTAACCTGTCCTTAAGTAGTTGTGTTTTCTATTAAATATTGCTCGTGCAGAGGAGGAATCACTGCCAGGACAGTTGCCCACTGAGCCAGTGACTGCATGGTCCTTTCAGGGGGTGGTGGTGCTGGGCCAGGAGACCTGTTGTTTGCATGACACCCCTGTACATGTTTTTGAAGCGGAAACTGTCCCCAGACTGACTTGGTTTCTGGTCCTGGAGAAGACAGAATCTCCAGGTAATAGGAACCGGAGCTGGCCCATCTCCTCTTGTGGCAGTGCAGAGAATTTCTTCATCTGAAAAGAAACTTGCTTTGGTGGTAGAAACTTTCAGAAAATTCCTTTCCTTGAATGCTGGAATATCATGTCCCTCCCTAGTCAGTGGGGCCTGGCAGATTCCCTTCTGCCTCCCCTTGAATTCCCTGTGCCCTTCTCTGCCCTTCAAGGCAGTGAGAGTAAGAAGCGTGAAGTGTGTTCCTCTGCCTCCCCACTGCCAGCAGATGCACTGACAGTGCTCTCCCCCGGGCCGGTACCTACCTGCCTCGCTCCATCAGAGCAGTGCAGAAAGACTGTACTGACACCCTGGCTGCAAATAATTTCCAATTATATGAATAAGCAGCTTATTAACAATACATTCTGGCTAATCATTTTGTGCTAGATATCTTCGCATTGTCTTGTCCCCAAATCCCTCTTTCATCAGGCACTTGATGCTCAGTAACAAGAAGGGGGAATGCACTCGTTCTCTTATGAACAAATCCCAAGAGTCTGCAATTAGTTCAGTTTCTGCAACTGGTTGCCTCCCAACTGTGCCAAGAACTGTGCTGTGTCACAATGCCTCGTCCTTTCCCATAGCATCTGCCTTTGCCATGTCCATGGAAAGTCCTCTCTTTGAGGAGAGAAGCTCTTTGGGGCAGGACAGGCCATGAAGAGATGTCTGTCCAGGACCTACCATGTTGGTCGCTAAAGAGCAGCAAGGAAATAATGAAGTTGGTCCTTTTGCTGCATCTCAGACAGAGGATCAATGCGGCTTTTAATTATAGTATCATGGAAAATAAAATGTATGTTATCTCAGGAGGTCACTTAATCTAGCCCAGTGACACACGGTAGGATCAGCGCTTTTGATTTAATTTCTAAAGATCTCTCTTTAACTAGTTTAGGTTGTAGTGTTCTCCTGGTGACCTGTTCCAGGGCTGCACCATCCTTATTCGAAAGCTTCTCCTGACATCTGACTGTCCCTGCTATTTAAACGCTTTGCTCTCTTTTCTGTCCGCTGAGAACTCGGAGAACAGATTGTTCTTTTCCTCTTGCTTTGGATGCAGGGACGCCTGTCGAGCCTCCCCTCCGTCTTCCCACTCCAGAAGAACCATCCCCAAGTCTTTCAGTTCCCCCCCTCGGTTGTGTGTCTGACAGCTTGGATCATTCC